TCACCCCTTATGTAATTATACATGGAGATACATATCCCCCCCTTATGTATTAAACATGGTGATCATATCCCCCCTTAATGTATTATACATGGAGATCATATCCCCCCTTATGTATTATACATGGAGATCATATCCCCCTTATGTATTATACATGGAGATCATATCCCCCTTATGTATTAATACATGGAGATCATATCCCCCCTTATGTATTATACATGGAGATCATATCCCCCCCTTATGTATTTTACATGGTGATCATATCCCCCCTTAATCTCCTCTTCTCAGTAGAGAATACATTCGGTTCCTCTAATCTTTCCTCATAGCTGAGCTCCTCCATGCCTCGTATCAGTTTGGTTGCCCTTCTCTGTACTTTCTCCAGTTCCCCAATGTTCTTTTTGTGAATTGGAGCCCAAAACGGAACTGTATATCCCAGATGAGGTCTTACTAATGATTTGTACCGGGGGAGGGGGGAGTGATATCTCTCTCTCTCTGGAGTCTATACCTCTCCTAATACAAGAGAGGATTTTGCTCGCTTTTAGAAACCGCAGCTCGGCATTGCTGGTCCCCACACTGAATTACTCTGTGGGTGCCACTGTGCACCACATTCCCTCCAGGAGACCTTTCATTGTCATCTGGTTCTCCTCAACCAGTTTGGTTTGTCTCCAAATCAAAGGGACAGATTTGCGCACGTGGGTGCTCCTCATTTTCCCTGTGCTCCCCTAGATTCAGAACTTGCAGGAGCATTAGCTGCAGCATAGGTCTGGGAGTTCTCCAAGTGACAGAACAATTGGCCGGGTCCCTATGCTGGACAGCTCTCTGCTATTCTCGGCCTCGCTGTCTTTCCTGAACATGTTGCATTACCATCTGCTTCTCCTCAACCGGTAGACCCAAAACGGAAAGGCTAGGTTTGCACACATGGGAGCTCCTTGGAAGAAACCAGCGCTGGAGGTCCCTGTGCTCCACTAATTTGTCAGAACTTGAAGGAGCATTTAGCTGCAGCAAAGGTTTGGGAGTTCTCCGTGTGTCAGAATAAATGGCCCCGTCCCTATGCTGGACAGTGCTGCTCTTGTCCTCACTGTCTTTCCTGAACATGTTGCATTACCATCTGCTTCTCCTCAACCGGTAGACCCAAAACTGAAAGGCTAGGTTTGCACACATGGGAGCTCCTTGGGAGAAACCAACGCTGGAGGGCCCTGTGCTTCACTAATTTGTCAGAACTTGAAGGAGCTTTAGCTGCAGCAAAGGTTTGGGAGTTCTCCGTGTGACAGAATAAATGGCCCCGTCCCTATGGTGGACAGTGCTGCTCTTGACCTCACTGTCTTTCCTGGAGACATTGCATTGCCATCTGGTTCTCCTCAACCAGTAGTCCCAAACCGAAGGGGATAGGTTTGCTCACCTGGGTGTTCTTCAGAAGAAACCACTGCTGGAGGGCCCTGTGCTCCCCACAATTGTCAGAACACGCTGGGATCCTGCTGCAGGTACCCCATGTTTGGAGGTAGGTGTACCTCCAGAAGCCTTCATGGGACCTGATCACCTGGACAGAGGTCCTCCTGCAGCTCCGTGGCTGTAGGGCAATTCTTCTGGCCAAGTTCATTTACAGGCAAGACGTGTCAGAAGAAGCCTGCTTCAGGTGGGAAATGTTCTCCTTTTTTGAAAAAACAGACTTTTTGGTCTTGGCAGTCGTCCGGCTCTTCAATAATTGGGTATGGGACTGATTCATGAAGAACCTGTCAGGTTCTTGAAGGTGATTCCATTCTAGAGCAATACCTACAGCATGCATCTGCTTCTCGATCTAGACATCGCAATAGTTTTAGTAGTTTTTGTATGGAGGAAAATTTACAGTTCTGCAAAGTACATCACCCCCTGCTCTCCCCTCCCCCATCATGATAGTCACCCCAGTCTCTCTTCCTCCCCCCAAATCCAGGAAGTGGACCAGCTACGGATGCAGCGAATGCACATTGAGGATCAGCTGAAGGGCCTGGGAGGCGGAGTTCGTATTGGCCCCTCCCGGGTAGAGAAGGAGAAGGTCGGAGGACAGGTAGAAGGCGGTACCACCTTCGCCTCTGTCGCCGGTAGAGGCCGAGGAAATTACGGTGAGTTTTCATGACATGCCGATAAAATGGCGGCTTTGTGAGGGCGCTAAACCCAGAATGCTATATATTTAGGGGCAATTCGCACTGTCTCGCCATGAAATTGCAGAGCAGCCGGAGTGATCACCGCTTTGTGTTGCCTCTGCGCTAGGGGGCAGTGTGGTGCATGATTAATTGCATCCCACTGCTCCCTTTTTGCTTTTTTTCTTTTTTTTTTTTTTTTTTATTGTACTAACTTTATTTGAAGGGTACAAAATGTACACTTCATTCACTACAATGCCAGCTGGCACGATGCGCTGCAATTCAGGCTGGTGCACTGCGATAAAATGCTGCATTCTGCATTTTATTGCAGCACGAATGAGACACCTAGGAAACAATTGCTTCCTGTCTGTCCCTGCGGTGATCGGCGATTTACCACGCGATAATACAGCTGCATATAGTGTGGACTGGTCCTTATGGTAACAGCGTTTTCTGAGTGACCTCGAAGGGTTTTGGATTTTTATGACGTCGGAGGAACATTGTTCAAAGCAAAACTTGACTTACTGTCCTTTTATCCTCTAGAGTACAACTGCCACTTTTCCAGATATTTTCAGGATTGTCACATGGCAATGACAGTGGAGGACACTGAGTGGAGGGATTGGCAGAGAGGGGTGGAGGACACTGAGTGGAGGGATTGGAGGAGAGGGGTGGAGGACACTGAATGGAGTTCCAGAGGATGGATAAGTCCTGGAGATGAGCATGGGAGGAGGAGACAAGGGAGCTAGAGAGTAGGAGGTCGTATGAGGAGCGGAGAGGACGGTTTGGGTGATCTTTGGAGACCAGATTGGTGATGTAATTTGGGGGCGGAGTTATAAATGGCTTTATATGTTATTGTTAATGTTATGAATTTTATCCATTGGGCAACTGGAAGCCAGTGGAGGGATTGGCAGAGAGGGCTGGAGGACACTGAATGGAGGCCAGTGGAGGGATTGGCAGAGAGGGCTGGAGGACACTGAGTGGAGGTCAGTGGAGGGATTGGCAGAGAGGGGTGGAGGACACTGAATGGAGGTCAGTGGAGGGATTGGCAGAGAGGGGTGGAGGACACGGAATGGAGGTCAGTGGAGGGATTGGCAGAGAGGGGTGGAGGACACTGAATGGAGGCTAGTGGAGGGATTGGCAGAGAGGGGTGGAGGACACTGAATGGAGGTTAGTGGAGGGATTGGCAGAGAGGGGTGGAGGACACTGAGTGGAGGGATTGGAAGAGAGGGGTGGAGGACACTGAATGGAGGCCAGTGGAGGGATTGGCAGAGAGGGGTGGAGGACACTGAATGGAGGCCAGTGGAGGGATTGGCAGAGGGGGGTGGAGGCCAGTGGAGAGGATTGGCAGAGAGGGGTGGAGGACACTGAATGGAGGTTAGTGGAGGGATTGGCAGAGAGGAGTGGCTGATACAGAACGGTTAGTAAAGTGGATGAGTCTGGCAGCAGCATTCATGATAGACTGAAGAGGGGATAGCCTGTGATGAGGTCGGCCAATGAGGAGGGAGTTACAACAGTCAAGACGTCCTCTGCTTAAAGAGTAAATATGTTTTTGTTGAGGGGAAAACCCCTCTCCCCCCCCCCCCCCCCCCCCCCCCCCCCCCCCCCCCCCCCCCCCCTCTGGGTGATCCATGTACACTGCAGGGAGTTTACCGAACGTCGTTGCAGTTTCCCACCTTTTTTTTGTTCAGAAGAAATAGCTGTTTGTTTGTCTGCGTGGAAAGTGAATCTCACGGGAGTGCTTTTATAATGACCAATCAGCTGCTGCACTTTCCGGGTTCTAATGAGGACAGCGGCAGGGTCTGCACCCCTTTTTAGATGTGATTTGCCTTTCGAGAGAATCTCACCGAAGTGGAGTTTCCCTTTAAGTCTTGTGTGGTGTATATGTATGGATTGTCACCGTCCGCCTTTTGCTTGGCTCTTGCAGCTCCAGGGTCTGGGGACCCGCCTCTCTCTGCTCGGAATGGGGGTGGTGGAAACCGGCCAAGACCGTCCCGCAGGAGAATCGCCAACGAAGATCGAACGATAGTGGATGAACAGGAAGGGGGGGCCGGACATCCTGTCCAGAATGGAGTAGGTAAGTGGCTACCTCTTCTAGTGCCAGCTGAAATTTACATACAAGTCAATGAGTTTTGTAGCTTCATATGGGAGAGTGCTTGTGCAGTATATATGTATATATGTCCAACTTCTAGAAGAACCCCCCCCATGGGAGATTCAGTTAATGAGTCTAAAAAGCAAACTGCTTTTGCAATATATATGTGTATATGCCTGACTTCTAGAACCCCCCTCCCATATGGGAGATTCAATTAGAGGGAGAGTCTAAAAGCAAGTCGTTTGTATATGCCACACCCCCTCCCACCAAATCCGTATGGTACGTGCTTCTTCGTGGTGCTTTTACTTGGCTCTTTCTCTGGTTACAGGGTCTCTTTAAGCTGTAGAATGATCTTCTGCATGAGGTGCAGCATTGGCAACAGAATTTTATTACAAAATGACAGATTTTCTGATTTTCTCATAACCAATCATGGTTCAGAAATATTCTCATCCTGATACTGACCCGTCGGTCCTTTATGGGTTCATAAAGGACATATCCCTGACCCCTTCCCCCAGAACACAAACTTTGGCCTGACTGATCAGATTAGGGATTAGAGCTGCCAATAGGGGATACTGACCATGGGTCAGCAGGGGGGCCCAGGCTATCAGGGAAGCTGTAGGGTGGCTTGTGGTTTTTAATAGCAGCCCTGCCTAGATGTACTAAAACTGGGAGCTGAGCTTGTATAGGCAGGACTTGTCATTACTGATCACGGCCAGCAGAGGGAGCAGGAAGCATGCTAACGCATAGAATGCTGTGGAATGAGGGTCACATCTGAACCCCTGTAGGGTTATATGGAATATGAGGGTCACATCTGAACCCCTGTAGGGTTATATGGAATACGAGGGTCACATCTGAACCCCTGTAGGGTTATATGGAATACGAGGGTCACATCTGAACCCCTGTAGGGTTACATGCAATACGAGGGTCACATCTGAACCCCTGTAGGGTTACATGCAATACGAGGGTCACATCTGAACCCCTGTAGGGTTACATGCAATACGAGGGTCACATCTGAACCCCTATATGGTTATATGGAATACAAGGGTCACATCTGAACCCCTATATGGTTATATGGAATACAAGGGTCACATCTGAACCCCTATATGGTTATATGGAATACAAGGGTCACATCTGAACCCCTATATGGTTATATGGAATACAAGGGTCACATCTGAACCCCTATATGGTTATATGGAATACAAGGGTCACATCTGAACCCCTATATGGTTATATGGAATACGAGGGTCACATCTGAACCCCTATACAGTTATATGGAATACGAGGGTCACATCTGAGTCCCTGTAGGGTTATATGGAATACGAGGGTCACATCTGAGCCCCTGTAGGGTTATATGCAATACGAGGGTCACATCTGAACCCCATACGGTTATATGCAATACGAGGGTCACATCTGAACCCCTGTAGGGTTATATGGAATACGAGGGTCACATCTGAGCCCCTGTAGGGTTCTATGGAATACGAGGGTCACATCTGAGCCCCTGTAGGGTTATATGGAATACGAGGGTCACATCTGAACCCCATACGGTTATATGCAATACGAGGGTCACATCTGAACCCCTGTAGGGTTATATGGAATACGAGGGTCACATCTGAGCCCCTGTAGGGTTCTATGGAATACGAGGGTCACATCTGAGCCCCTGTAGGGTTATATGGAATACGAGGGTCACATCTGAACCCCATACGGTTATATGGAATACGAGGGTCACATCTGAACCCCTGTAGGGTTATATGGAATACGAGGGTCACATCTGAACCCCTGTAGGGTTATATGCAATACGAGGGTCACATCTGAACCCCTGTAGGGTTATTTGTAATATGAGGGTCACATCTGAACCCCTATAGGGTTATATGGAATACGAGGATCACATCTCAAACCCCCCCCCCCCCAATAGAGTTAGAAGTAACATTAGAGGGACACCTCTGAACCTCAATAGTTTATATTACATAGAATCCTCATATTACATATAACTATTGAGGTTCAGAGGTGTCCCTCTAATGTTACTTTTACCTCTATTGGGGGGGGGGGGGTTTGAGATGTGACCCTCGTATTCCATATAACCCTTTAGGGGTTCAGATGTGACCCTCATATTACATAGAATGCTCATTTTACATATGAGGGTCACATATCAACCTCCGTAGTTATACAGAATGTAATATTATGGTCCCATCTTAACTCCCCCATAGAGTCTTATGTAGTATGAGGGTCACATCTGAACCCCCATAGACTTATGACATAAAACCGGTGATCCCACTACAAATGCAGCGGGGAAAATTAATTTTTGGATCCCCTGCAGATTTTGTATGTTTGCCCACTTACAAAGAAATGAAGGGTCTATAACTTCTATCATAGGTGTATTTTAAATGATAGAGACGGAATATCAACCAAAAATCCACAAACAAACCACATGATACAAATGTTATAAATGGAGTTGCAGTTCAGTGAGTAAATTAAGTATTTGATCCCAAAGCAAAGAATGACTTGGTACTTGGTGGAGGAACCCTTGTTGGCCAGCACAGAGGTGAGACGTTCCTTGTAGTTGGTTCCCAGGGTTGCACACATCTCAGGAGGGATTTTGGTCCGCTCTTCTTTACAGATCTTCCTTACGGTTTCTTGGCTGTCGCTTGGCAACTTGAAGCGTTGATGCTCCCTTCGTAAATTTTCTATAGGATGAAGGTCTGGAGACTGGCTAGGCCACTCCAGGACCTTAATGTGCTTCTTCTTGAGCCGCTCCTTTGTTGCCTTAGTGGTATGTTTTGGGTCATTGTCATGCTGGAAGACCCATCCACCACCCATCTTCAGTGTTCTGGTTGAGGGAAGAAGGTTCTCATCCAAAATTTTACAATATGTGGCCCCATCCATTGGCCCCTCAATGCGGCAAAATCGGCCTGTACCTTTAGCAGAGAAGCAGTGCCAAAGCATAATGTTTCCACCTCCGTGCTGGACAGTTGGGATGGTGTTCTTGGGGTCATAGTCAGCATTTTTCTTCTGCCAAACACGGCGAGTCGAGTTGATGCCAAAGAGCTTGAGTTTGGTCTCCTCTAACCACAACACTTTCCACCAGTCCTCCTCGGCATCATTCAGATGTTCAGTGGCAGACTTCAGACAGGCCTGGACATGGGCTTTCTTGAGCAGAGCAACCTTGCGGGCACTGCAGATTGTCAATCCATGGCCACGTATTGTATCACCAATGGTTTGTTTGGTGACTGTGGTCCCAACTGCCTGGAGATCATCCACAAGCTGCTCACATGTAGTTCTGGGCTGATCCCTCACTTTTCTCATGATCATCCTTACCCCATGAGGTGAGATCTTGCATGGTGCACCAGACCTAGGGAGACTGATGGTTATGTTGTATTTCTTCTATTTGTGAGTAATCCCTCCAGCAGTTGTCTCCTTCTCACCAAGCTTCTTGATTATGGTCTTGTAGCCCAGTCCAGCCTTGTGCAGGTCTACAATCTTGTCTCTGACATCCTTTGACACCTCTTTAGTCTTGCCCGTGGTGGTGGTGAGGTTTAGATGGAAGAAAGAGAGATTCTGTGGACAGGTGTCTTTTATACACGTAACAAGTTGTCGTTCGGAGTGCCTTCTTACATTGACAGCACTGATCTGTGTACCACATGAGCACAGAGCCAGTCTGTAGGAGCCACAATCATTGTTGGTTGGTAGGGGATCAAATACTTATTTTGCTCACTGAACTGCAACTCCATTTATAACATTTGTATTGTGTGTTTCCAGGATTTTGGTTGATATTCTGTCTCAATCATATAAAATAGACCTATGATAAAAATGATAGACCCGTTATTTCTGTGTAAGCGGGAAAACCTACAAAATCTGCAGGGGATTTCCCCACGGTGGCTATAAATACATTGAAGGAATCCTCCGCTGAGATTGTTACTGAGGGAATATACATTACTGACTGTTTTATAGGATACTGATTTCTGTTCACATTTGTCTTCTAGATGATGGATCAAAGACCCCACCACACGAGAACCACATCGAGTCCAACTCCGGGGACACAGCCAGCCAACCGCAGGACACACAGACTGGTGAGTGTGCAAGAGCTGACAGTCTGAGGGTCCTGCTCTTTAATTACCCCTGATAGGGAACAGGAGGTACGAGGGTTCTGATCATACATCTCATAGGAAACAGGAGGTACAAGGGTCCCGATCATTCCATCCAATAGGAAACAGGAGGTATGAGGGTCCCGATCATTACATCCAATAGGGAACAGGAGGTACGAGGGTCCTGATCATTACATCCAATAGAGAACGGGGTATGAGGGTCCCGATCATTACATCCAATAGGGAACAGGGGTGTGAGGGTCCTTATTACATCCAATAGGGAACAGGGGGTATGAGGGTCCTTATTACATCCAATAGGGAACAGGAGGTACGAGGGTCCCGATCATTGCATCCAATAGGGAGCAGGAGGTACGAGGGTCCCGATCATTACATCAAATAGGGAACAGGAGGTATGAGGGTCCCGATCATTGCATCCAATAGGGAGCAGGAGGTACGAGGGTCCCGATCATTGCATCCAATAGGGAGCAGGAGGTACGAGGGTCCCGATCGGGACTCTCGTACCTCCTGTTCCCTATGAGATCATTATGATCATTATATCCAATAGGAGGTATGAGGGTCCCGATCATTACATCCAATAGGGAACAGGAGGTATGAGGGTCCCGATCATTACATCAAATAGGGAACAGGAGGTATGAGGGTCCCGATCATTACATCCAATAGGGAACAGGAGGTATGAGGGTCCCGATCATTACATCCAATAGGGAACAGGAGGTATGAGGGTCCCGATCATTACATCCAATAGGGAACAGGAGGTACGAGGGTCCCGATCATTACATCAAATAGGGAACAGGAGGTATGAGGGTCCCGATCATTACATCCAATAGGGAACAGGGGGTATGAGGGTCCCGATCATTACATCCAATAGGGAACAGGAGGTATGAGGGTCCCGATCATTACATCCAATAGGGAACAGGGGGTATGAGGGTCCTTATTACATCCAATAGGGAACAGGAGGTATGAGGGTCCTTATTACATCCAATAGGGAACAGGAGGTACGAGGGTCCTTATTACATCTACTAGGGAACAGGAGGTATGAGGGTCCTTATTACATCTACTAGGGAACAGGAGGTATGAGGGTCCCAATCATTACATCCAATAGGGAACAGGAGGTATGAGGGTCCTTATTACATCCAATAGGGAACAGGGGGTATGAGGGTCCCGATCATTACATCCAATAGGGAACAGGGGGTATGAGGGTCCTTATTACATCTACTAGGGAACAGGGGGTATGAGGGTCCTTATTACATCCAATAGAGAACAGGAGGTACGAGGGTCCCGATCATTACATCCAATAGGGAACAGGAGGTATGAGGGTCCCGACCATTACATCCAATAGGGAACAGGAGGTATGAGGGTCCCGACCATTACATCCAACAGGGAACAGGAGGTATGAGGGTCCCGATCATTACATCCAATAGGGAAGGACACAGTCTGTTGACATAAATTTTACTTTTTCTTTTCTCTATAACGCAGATGAAACCTCAACAACGGATTCTGTGACACCAAAGAAAGACTCCAGAGCGAGACGCTCGAGGGGCAGCAACACAAAGGTAAGTGATCGTGAGCTGTAATCAAGGGGCACACAGCTTGCAGTCTGAAAAAATTTAAAAAGATTGCAAACTGCTATTTTTTTCAGGTACTTATAATGTGCCGTCAATTTACACAGCGCTTTACATATATATATTGTACATTCACATCAGTCCCTAACCCTCAAGGGGTGTACAATCTAAGGTCCCTAACTTACATTCATACATACACATACTAGGGCCAATTCACCTACCAGCATGTCTTTGGAGTGTGGGAGGAAACCGGAGTATCCAGAGGAAACCCACGCAGGCACATGGAGAACATGCAAACTCCAGGCAGGTGGTGCAGTGGTTGGGATTCGAACCAACATCCCTAGTACTGCCCCAACTAAACTGCCTATTCCTTTTATATCCTTCCTTTGGCGATCCTCAAACTGCATTCTTATTGGTCCGTCTATAGGGCCTGGTTCAGAATGTGGCTTCTTTAGGCTTCAAACCATCGCTTTTTTTTTTTTTTTCTCCCCCTTTTTGGTGGACTGCAAGAATCTTAATTGGCACTATATATGTAGAGATAAGGCAGACATTCTTTCCTTCATGTGCTACCATTAGGCCCCAGTAGGAGGCGATCTGCATCACAGAGAGGGACTGGGAGGAAAGGAGGGGTGTCCTCAACAATGAAGGAGGTTTTTTTTTTGTTTTTTTTTTTCCTTGGAATTGTGTTGTGCAGCTTCCTATTATGGAGTTGGAAAACTCAATATTGTCTATTTTTACAATTTTTTTTCCTCTTGTTTTTCCCTCTAGAGCACGGGTGTCAAACTGGTGGCCCCCCAGCTGCTGTGAAACTACAAGTCCCATCATGCCTCTACCTCTGGGAGTCATGCTTGTAACTGTCAATCCTGCAATGCCTCATGGGACTTGTAGTTTGGCAACAGCTGGAGGGCCACCAGTTTGCCACCTGTGCTCTAGTGCCATACTGTACTGTCCAATTGCCTGCATGAGCACTGAGTTCAAATAGAACATGGGCTCTTCCAAAATGGCCCCTGGAGACCACAGCTGCAGATGCTCATTGTCTATGCTTTAGCCCCCCCTTCTCTCCTCTAGTTCCATACTCTTCTGTCCAATTGATCAAAAGAGCACTGTGTTTACATAGATAATGGGCTTGCCCAAAAGGGCCTCTGGAGTCCACGACTGCAGACACCTTTTGGTCTATACTCTCGCCCCTCTTCCTCCCTCTAGTGCCACACACTATTGGACGAAGACTCTAAACATGCGAAAAAGGGATACACTGCTCCGCACAGGGATCACCAGCCACTCTGTTTCCATTTCTGCTCATCTTGGCCGCATGATTCGTGCAATTAATAATGGAAAAGATCTACACTCTGGTTGTGTACCGGATGATTGACTAAACAATACAGCTGGTAGCAAATCCAATCCACCAAAGCTCCGCTTCTAGTATGTGAACTCAGTGTTCTTGTGAGCAATTGAACGAATAGATAAGGATGTTCCACTAGAATATGGGCCCTCTCAAAATGGCTTTCGGAGTCCAGAGCTGCAGACACCCTTGGTGAATGTTTTTGGCTCCTTTTCTTCCTTCTAGTGCCATACTCTTCTGCCCAACTGCTTAGAAGTTCACTATGACCAGTAAAGCATGAGCTCTCCCAAAATGGCCGTCGGAGTCAACAGCTGCAGATGCCCTAGCGCCTTGTCTTCCTCTAGTGCACGGGTGTCAAACTGGCAGCCCACCAGCTGTTGCCAAACTACAAGGTCCTTGAGGCATTGCAAGATTTGCAGTTACAAGCATGACTCCCAAAGGCAGAAGCATGATGGGACTTGCCAGTTTGATACCCCTGATCTATTGCCACACTCTGCACATGGTGCTCCCACGAGCATTTGGACAGCTCCCCCAAAATGGCCCCTGGAGTCCATGCCTGCAGACACATTTTTGGTTTATTCTCTGGCTCCTCTTCTCTCTACTGCCACATGATATTGGATGGAAACTGTAAGCGTTTTGTGGGGGGGAATACTGCTCTACCCAAGGTACACGTTCACCAGCTACTTGGTCCCAGGCATTGGTTGCCATCTTAGCCCCTCCTGGCCACATGATTTATGCAATGAATAAAGAAAGAGAGCCACACGCTGGACTTACTACTGACTGTATAGTTTGATCCTGTGGCATAGCTAGAACCTTCAGGGCCCTGGTGCAAGAAACCATGAAGGAACCCCCGGCCGGGGCACTTCCCTCTCAGCTCATTGGCAGAATGCCAGGGCCCGGTCGCAAGTGCAACCTTTGTGACCCTGGTATTTTCGCCACTGGGAATGCCAGGGCCCGGTCGCGAGTGCGACCTTTGTGACCCTGGAAGTTCTGCCACTGGGGTCAGTAGTTTTTTTGTATTTTGAATTTTTTTTTTAAATTACTTTTTATAAATTTTAGGAACCCTGTTGGGGGGTTTTGGGGGAGATATCAGGGGTCTAAAAAGACCTCTGATGTTTCACCTTTTTGGGACAGAGAAAGGAGACTGAGGGCTGTGTCCTCCATCTCCCTCTCTGTAGCCTCAGCAGCACAGAATTAATGGATAGGAATAGCTGTACAGAGACTTCCCCTTCATACATAAACGGAAGCATAGTAAACACAGTTTACTATGTCTCAGTTATGAATGGACAGAGTCGGTAATCGGTTCGGATCACTGACTCTCCATTCAGAAAAGGAAGTGGCCAGTAAATGACACATTGACCGTCTCCTTACCCGCTCTCCATCCTGACAGCATCCCCCTGCAGCAGGGGAGGGGGGGAACCTGGCTGTGCTGCATGAGTCGAGCTGAGGCCAGCAGACAGAAGCTGGATAGGAGGGGGCGGAACTGATTTCTTAATTTCCCCCTCTCCATCCCACAGGCATCCAGCAGCTGCAGGAAAATGTAGGGATTGGTTCCTCTGTTTGCAGCTGCTCCTCCTATCCAGGCGCACAGGGAGGGACCTGGTCACAGTTGTGACCCCTGCAGGTACTCCCCTGGTTTGACCAATCACCTGTATACGGTCAATCCATATGACTGCCTCCACCAACTCATTCCTCTTGTTTTGAAGCAAAATGTGTCAGCAGAGGAACTCAAGGGGGTTGTCACCGGGTCTGGAAGTGAGGGGGATTCATGACACCCTACGAGGCAGTTCTAATCCTTCATACCCCCCTCCCCCCCAATCCAACACCAGCAAGGAAAGGTTTGGCAAGATGAGCTTGGTGTTCTCAGAGAGTCCTAATATATAGTAACTCCCCTTCCTACCACCCCCGGAGGAGGAGTATGACCACTGTTTGGGAAGAAGTCAAGTGTGAACAAGCCCTAACACCCCTAAAGCGTTAGGTGTTTAATGAGCTTTAAAAAACCCTCCCCAAATGCCCTCTGCATGATTTTGAGGCGTTTTATAGGCGTTAAAACCGCACCACAAACGCCTATAATGAACCTAATGGTGTTAATGCCACGCAAACGTTTGCCAGGCGTTTGAGGAGCATCACCGCCAACTTGAATGGGAGGCGTTTGAAAAGCTTCAACTCCTCCTGACTCCACATGAGGCGTCAATTTTGATGCGATGTTCACGTTCCAGTGTGAACAGCACTGTGTGCTGCCATGTGTATCATTTTCATAGGTGGGTGAGGAGCGTTAAACGCCTGCTTCAGCGCTAGTGTGAACTGAGCCTTGGACTGGTATAGGTAGTCCTTAGGTATTGGGTACGCTCTCTTCCAAAAGTACAGTGTAATTGTTCCTGCCATCATTGGTCTTCCCCATCCAATGGAGGTAGAGGTAAAGGCGCCTTATCCAGCCTCAGCTAGTCTTGCCCCTGTCAGTCCTTAGTGCTGGGATGGGACTGAATATGAAGCCTCTGCGGCAGGCGGTTTGTACAGCTGTTTGGCCCTGTCCTGGAGCAGGACCCTAATGACATGCCATATACATAGATATCAGCTAACTGTAAAGCTGGACCTTGGGCAGGGGGTTCTTACCCTGAAATGGTCCTCTGGGCCATGGCCTTCACTGCCAGGGCAATGGGCAGGACTAGGAATTGCATCCAGATATAGCAGTGCAATACCGAATTGCTGGCAAATCCTGAGCAACCTGTGCTGTGAGGCCGTGCAATCACACGAAGGGTGGTGGGCTGTGAAGTAGGCTGCAATGGGCCCTATGATTTTGATGGCGGCCCTGGGGGTGGATGCTCAGTTATTGGTTCTCTTCCCACAGCCCAGAAGATGCTGCAATGTGGTTGGATGCTGGGTAATGTCTGTGTTGTTTTTGGTTGGAATGTAGGAATAAAAAAAAAAAAAAAAATTGCAGAACTTGATTGGCTACTCTGTGCAAAGGATGATATTGTCTACCAGAGGCCATAGTGCTACCAATAGATGTTTTATAATATGTGTTGTTCAATTCTAGGAGATTACTGGATAATCGAAAATACAGGACCTGGAAGAAGCTGCCACACCGACCGACTGACCTCAACTGTATCTACTACCCATGTACAGTTCTCTGTATACAGCCAATAAACCGAGAGCCCCTGCCCCCCCTCGACTCTGTGTCCTCTATGTACAGTTTTCTGTATACAACACAATAAACCGAGAGCCCCTGACTGTGTGTCCTCTATGTACAGTTCTCTCTATACAACTCATAAACCGAGAGCTCTCATCTCTCTGACCTCTTTGTACAATTCTCCATATACAACCAATAGACTACAATAAATCAAGAGTCTCCAACTCAATGTCCTCCATGTACAATTCTATACCTAAAAACCCAAGAGCCCCCCAACTCCATGTATGATTCTCTCTATACAACCCATAAACTGAGAGCTCTCATCTCTCTGACCTCCTTGTACAATTCACCATATACAACCAATAGACCAGAATAAACCGAGAGCCTCCAACTCCATGTCCTCCATGTACGATTTTCTCTATACAACCCATACACTGAATAAACCGAGAGCCCCTGACTGTGTGTCCTCTATGTACAGTTCTGTGCGTACAACGCATGAACCGAGACCCCCCCCCCCCCCCCCCAGTGTGTCCTTTTATGTACAATTCTCTATATGCAACCAAAACACCAAATAAACTTGGAGCTTTATAACGTCTATACAACCAATCCACAGAGAACCGTCCAACTTCATGATACAGTACACCAAATAAAGCGAGACCCCCCAGACTTTGTGTCTTCCATGTACAAGTCTCTCTATACAACCTGTAACGGAACCGACACAGACTGTGCTGGAGTACTCCCGTTAGAATACCGCTTCCCCGTCCGAACACCAACAACAGACACCACAGCCGACCATACAAGACTAGACAACACCAGTCTTGAAGTAACCAGGAGGTAGACTAGTTTATTTGAACACAGATACAAGATATATACACTCAGGAAACAACCCCCCCTCCCTGCATAATGACACAGGGAGGGGCAATCCACATTTAGTAACAAGAGACACACAGGTAATCAAACTTCACACCAGCAGACTGTCCCATCAGGGGGGGAGGGCTGCTGGAACCCCCCCCCCCACTAAGCTAATACACAAAACATTATACAATCCACAACCCCCCACCTATCTCCTAAACATGTCTACACAGTCTGAGACAAAGCCCACAGAATATTGGGACAGATCATCCTGTACCCCTAACAGGCACAGGGTGACTTACACATAAGAGGGAAATGGGGAGCTGAGACGGGTCTCCCCACCTCTCCAAAGTGAACTGGGTTCCATTGGCCCCCCACCCAAATTGACTCCCATCACACAACCCATAAACCAAGAGCCCTCCATCTCTCTGACCACCTTGTACAATTCTCCACATACAACCAATAGACTAGAATAAAAACCAATAGACTAGAATAAACCGAGAGCCTCCAACTCCATGTCCTCCATTCACAATCCTCTCTATACAACCCATAAACCAAGAGCCTCCAACTCCATGTCCTCTGTATACAATCCTCTCTATACAACCCATAAACCAAGAGCCTCCAACTCCATGTCCTCTATGTACGATTCTCTCTATACAACCCATAAACCAAGAGCCTCCAACTCCATGTCCTCTATATAAAATCCTCTCTATACAACCCATAAACCAAGAGCCTCCAACTCCATGTCCTCTATGTACGATTCTCTCTATACAACCCATAAACCAAGAGCCTCCAACTCCATGTCCTCTATATATAATCCTCTCTATACAACCCGTAACCCGAGAGCCCTCCATCTCTCTGACCTCCTTGTACAATTCTCCACATACAACCAATAGACTAGAATAAACCGAGAGCCTTCAACTCCATGTCCTCCATTCACAATCCTCTCTATACAACCCATAAACCAAGAGCCTCCAACTCCATGTCCTCTATATACAATCCTCTCTATACAACCCATAAACCAAGAGCCTCCAACTCCATGTCCTCCATGTACGATTCTCTCTATACAACCCATAAACCAAGAGCCTCCAACTCCATGTCCTCCATGTACGATTCTCTCTATACAACCCATAAACCAAGAGCCTCCAACTCCATGTCCTCCATGTACGATTCTCTCTATACAACCCATAAACCAAGAGCCTCCAACGGATCAAATTCAAAATCCTAACACTGACGTACAAAGCCGTCCACCATACTGCCCCGTGCTACATCTCTGACCTAATATCCAAGTACCGCCCAGCACGCACACTCCGCTCCTCACAAGACCTCCTTCTCTCTAGTTCCCTGGTCTCCTCCTCCCATGCCCGCCTCCAGGACTTCTCCAGGGTGTCACCCATCCTCTGGAACTCCCTGCCCCAACCCATCAGATTATCACCTACTCTCCTCTCCTTTAGGCGCACCCTGAAAACCCATCTCTTCAGGGAAGCCTACCCCACCCCCTGCTAACTTGCCGACCTCCTCCACTCTTCCTACCACTCCACCCCCC